ACAGTGAAAAAATAAATGAAAGCAATAGATTAATTTTTATAAGAATTATTCAGTCATCAATTTTATTATTGTGATCAATTATTTGAATAATTTGGATTATTATCCCAAATAAAATGAAAATGCTAATATATATATAAATTGTATTTTAAAATGATTTTATGATTATTGATTATTATTCTTATTATAGATCATTGCTGAACTTCAACCCAACCTCCTTCAACATGTCCACTCATTTGAATTAAGGCAAACTAATAAAATAGATTAAAATAATTACATCAAAGTTTTAGATGCAAGCTTGATCTGAGGTATAAGTAACCTTCTTTCCATTATAATCGGTGTTTTCATATAAGGTGACTCTTCCTTATGGTGGAACTCTAATGGATCTAATTTATGGTGGAATGTTGTCATTTTAGAAGTTTGGTGATTTAGAACAGAATTCAAATGAAGCTCCCTTGTAATCACATTCACTATAGAAAACTGCACATGCTTCCTTTGGTTCATACCATAATTTGAAATCTCTGAAACCCCATGATTCTAATAATTATTATAATAGAATTACCATCAGCAGCATCTTGATCCAAAGTAGATGTGAAGACTACTTCAGCTTTAGGAGCTTAATGATTAAAGATTTCATCAACACCAACAATGCCATCAAACCATATACCTTATCCACAGAAATTGGCACCTCCAGTTTAGAGATTCCAAGATGTCTTCCAAACATCAGTTCCATCGACTTTAATGATCATGAATTCTCCATCCCAAGAATCAATCTTATAGATTGTTGATTATAATCTAAGTCTTTTGTGTGGTGGGACATCAAATGTTTTGGTTGCACTAGCCTTTGTACCCATAATATCAAAACCTCCAACCATTGACTTACCACTGCATTCATTGATTTATCTTCCTGCTTTATTATTAGTAAGAACCCAACCATTGATTCCTGTGAATTTATCTTCCAAGAAAGATTATTCTAATAAAATGAAGTTAGGTAAAGCTTAGCATTTGCCTCCAACTAAAGCCCAGTTATTAGCACATTCTATAATATTATAAATATTAATTACTTTTGCAATCTGATTCTTTAGGTCCTGTACATTCAGCACAATTATTAGCACATGCTGCATAGAAAATGTATAAATCTCTCAAACCATATGATTCATTATTTGGTGCTTCATCAAGAGTTGTAGTGAATTCAACTTTAGCTTATTCTCCAGTATGATCAATATCAACTTCAGTTCTAGCAAACATTGATTTCCATTCAAATATTGGGCAACCACATATTTTACCAAAATATCCTTCATGCCATTAGAATCTTCTTTCCCAGACTAATTTTCCATCAACTTTGATTTAAGCAGCTTCATTATCCCAAGAATCAATTTTAGCCCAAAGTACTTTAATCTTAAGTTTGTAATGTGGCTTAACTTTTAAAACCTTACTAACAACACTTCTAGCACCTGTCTTATCAAAACCTCCAAACAAAGCAGCAGCTAAATACATTTAATATATTAAAATACCTCCACATTGTGTAGCATGAGCGGCACCTCCTGCAACTTCCCAGCCATCAGCTCCTAATTAGTTAGCATCTAATGCACCCCAACTAGAAGAGAATGATTACCAGAAATTACAGTTTTCTGATTTTTCATCAACTTAACAAGCAGAACATCCATCTGGACATTTTTCAACTGATAAAACAAAATCTCTGAAGGCCCATGATTCCTATATATATTATAAAAATATCTTACATTATCAGCAGCTTCATTCAAGTTTGATGTAATAACAACTACTGCTGTTGGTCCAGTATGTTTGATATTCAAGTTTAGATTGAGTGTCATTTCTTTCCAATCACCACCTTGGCCACATTTTTATCCGTCACCTTCATTATACTAGAATTTTCTTGACCAAACTAATTAGTCGTCAACAAAGATGTATCCTTCTTCATTATCCCAAGAGTCAATCCTAACAGTTAGATAATATATCATACTTCCAGAATTGAATTTTTAAGTTAATTAATGAATGAGGAGGGAGTTCAAACATTTTGCTTGCAACTGCTCTGGCACCAAATTTACCAAAACCTCCAAACATTTTTGTGCCACTGCACTCTGTAACATGAGCTGGTCCTCCAGCAGTCACCCAACCTATATTAATTAATTTATTAGTTACCATCAGCATCAGAAAAGGCATTTCCTGCGAAGGATTAGGAAACAACAACTGGCTCTCCCAATACTTAAACTGTTGCACAAACTAACAACACTAAAACAAGAGTTCTATTTTTCATAATATTAATAATGCTAAAAATTTTTTAATAAATTCCTTAAAAAACGAATATTTTCATTTTATCTCAGATTTTGAGATTATTCTCATATATAAATTATATATAGTTGCTTAAAAAAAATTGATATTCGTGATCATAGAACTCCTCAAAGGAAGAGTTAATTAGATTCAGCACAAAACTAAACTACTTTTATTAACAGTAACAAAAGAAATCAGATTGAAGCAGGAAAATAGTTTAATTAACAAAAATAGATTAATATTAGGTTATAAGAGAAAGAGTTAATGAATAATCAAGAGTACTATAAAGAACTCTATGCTCTAAGTGAATATCTTGAAGAAAGCGAGATAACTTATAGAAATAAAAAAAATATTTAAAAGACCAAACAAATTTTAGGAAAAAGACTTAGATGAGATAAAAAACAAATAGTTTATCATAATTGATTAATTTATGAGGCATTAACGAGAGAAATGGTCTGTTGTTCTATTTTTAGATTATTTGTATATATTAATATAAATTAGTTTTATAAATTAATTAATATATATTATTTAACAGATGATCATCAAGTTAATGTCCCTAATTCGTATCTGATTGCTCTTCTGCATTTTTCGACAATTTCATCTTCTTTTTAATTAAGACTAGATTTAATATCATTAATTTAATCTTTCACTATAGAAATCTATTCATTAACTTAATCTAAGACTTGTAGAGCTGCAGAATCTATATTGAATAGTTTAAATGATTACTTAAATTCATACTTTCTGCTTCTATGTTTCTAGTTTATTTAATTTGCTATCCTTGAAAAATAACGGTCTTGTCATTCTTTTATTTGACTAAAAAAATAATAAGATAAATACTCACCTACCCTATTGACTCCATTTTAAGATGAAGTTTATTGTTTAAGTTTTTCAAGGAGAAAGTTTAAGGCTTTGTTATTTTCTACTTCTTTAGCATTCAATTATTTTGGATCAAAATTTACATCAAATGGAATTCCACTTAAATCTGCAGGTAATTAATGAGCCAAGACAAAGACTTTATCTCTAGGAGTGAGAGTAGTTTCAGCTGGTGGATTTGTATAAACATAAGGATGTTTATTATCAACAGCTTTAGCCAATCTATATAAGCCTAAAGGAATTAGATGTCTTTCAATAGATAAATAATTAAATAATTCTCCAAAAGTTTTATTCTAAAATATGAATAGATATTACAAGATAATCTTCAGGGACAGGAACTTAATAAAGATTAGAATCTTTAATATCTAGATTTTCACAGATGGCTCTAATGACAGGGTTTGATTATCTCATTCCTGTGAGAATTTATTAAAGTATCGTAACAATATGAGGATTATAATAAGCTTGACAGGTGAGGGTATCAATCATGGCAGAAATATAGACTTCTCCTGAGGCTTGTAAAGGAGTCTAATTAAAAGAAAAATTTACCAATTCATATTTAAAATCATTTTGATATTTATAATCTTTATCTAGAAGGAATTGTATATTAGAACTTGAGACTAATTCAATCATGATTTAGACTGAAGGATTAATTTTTTTAATAGCTTTATAGATAAAAATACTTTCTGCATCATGCATTTGATCAAGAAAATCTTCACTTTCAGTTTTATTAGCATCAGCACTTTATGCAAAGATAACAGCTTTATCTGCACAATGAATACTTGCTCTTTGTAAATCTTCGGAAATAAGAGGAGAACCTTAAACAAATTTAACTTTTGGGAATCTATTAATATATTCCCAAATTTCTGTAGGTTTTTCAGGTGCTAAGATAACCACATATTAAATTTCTTTAAGATACTTAGCTCTTAAGGGAAGTAAGAAATAATAAATGGAAGGATGAATTCCACAAACAACGATGTGATTATTAATTTCAGGTTATTCAAGTAAGAAGATAGAGGTGGCATCCATTAAAGAGACAGGCTCATTAAGTAGAAGATAATCTTTTTCAATAATATCTTAATCATCAAGTTAATCTTTGCCTAATAATAAATGATCTTCTGCTTTATCTTCCTCCTCTTCGTTTGGTTTATCTTTATCAGATGTATTCTATAAAGATAATGAGAAATGATAATTAGCTATTTCTTCTGTAGTCATATCATAGGTTGCTACTAGATCAGCTACCTTTTTATCTTAACAAATGATATATGCATGTACTTTTGTAGTATTAGGTATAGTATATACACCAGGATTAAGTCTAATTATAGCTTATCTTCCAACATCAAATTCTAAACCAAATAGAATGCCAGAAAACTCATTATAAACAATAGCAGCTACTTCACTAAAAGTCTTTCCTTAAAATTTAAAACTTAAATCAGTTCGATATATTTCATGTCCCATACCATCTGTATATTGTGTAAGCCATTCAGAATCTAAACTTTCCTTTTATTCTCCTGCTGAAGTAACTAAATTACCTAATAAAGCAATGATTCCAGGACAAAAACAAGATTTAGCTAATAAATTCATTTTAAATTCTTCTACTACAATTATTTAATCAGTTATCATTTTTACTCCTAATGATTATTTATAATGCATCTTGCTCTCTGGTTTTATTAATTACATACATAATCTAATATTACAACCTGTTAAATGATTAACATATTTTTTTATTAGTAAACCAATGAGAATATTTTTATGATCAGCAGAATGACTATCTACTATTTATTTATTAGTTAAAATAACACAAGCTTTTGCTTAAGTTACAGCAGCTCTTCTCAAATCTCTCTCTATCATAGGATTACCCTATAAATAAATCAAAAACATTTCATAGCGTTCATTATGTAGAAAATCTTCCATTTCTGTATTTGGAATTGATGGTTTTAATATTATTGCATTTTTATCTTATCCTCCATGATCTTAATGAAATAATTCATTGCAAAAGTTCTTTAATGATGCTACACTCACATATCCACAAATTATTATATGAGGAATTTCATGATTAGGTTTATAGAATGATCTTGCATAAACACTTTACAATCCCATCAATCTTATTAATTCATTCATTTATTTTGGTATTACAACCAATACAATAATAATTAATACAATAACACATACTCTTCCTTCTTCACTCTATGGAATCACATCTCCATATCCTACTGTTGATAATGTCACTATTGTAAAGTATATCATTTCATGAAAATTGCATCTATCTATCTAATTTGAACAACCTCTATTTGGATCCTTTCCTATTAACTCTTATCTTTTTGGTAATTCAAATGCATATAAAACTCCTGCTGTCACTATTATTATTGTTGTCACTGTTGAAAATATTACATATATTTATCTAGTCACTCCTCCATACTCTGTATCAGATAATGATTAAAATTTATTTATCATCCTTACCACCCGAAATACTCTTAATATTCGAGATATATTTATAAGTCGTTACAAATAATTCCAACTTCCAACTGATTAAATTGTTAGTAATGGAAACACAGTCAATAATTCTATTATCGCAAAATCAGAAAATATATATTGTAATCTGTGTTAAGCAGCAAACAATTTCAATGAATATTCTGTCAAGTACAATGAACATACTACAATATCCAATGTACCCAACCATTCCACTTAATCAAAATACGTTGATACTATATATATTCCTACAGTCGCCAAACTTGCTATACCTGATATTATCTCCAAATATCTATTTTACATCAATCATACCTTCCAACTTTCTAATTTAATAACTTCTCAATGTATAACCTTAAAGTCACTCTGTTCTCATAATCATCATTGTTCTCAGGTTTCAATTGAGGTAAAGGTAATACTATTGACATTTTTTGGTTCATTTTTATTATTAATATATGTTTAGTATTATAATTATTTAAATGGAGTCTCGTAACTTTAGGATTATTATTTTAAGATGTTGTTTTTATAACCTAAATTTGTTCACATGCTATACGGAGTTAAATATTTATATATAAAATAATTATATGAAATCTGCCAAATCTGCTTATTCATTGAGTACAAATTTAGCAAGTTAATACACAGAGAGAGTTTATAGAAATAAAAAACCAGTTCTTCGTATAAATACCGAAACTAGTCAGAGAATTAAGAGTGCTTAAATTGGATCTTCATCTCGAAAATGTTATACAAATACAAGTAGAGTTATTGAAAATTAGAGTGCTTCTAAGATTCCTTTACAAATATATTAAAGATATATAGATGAATCATTTATGTCTAATAATCATGATAAAATTATTAAGGAAGCCAAACTAGTTGAACCGACTGTCATTAACCATCTCAATATTAATTTTTATGAAACTTAATAATTGAATCATGGGATGAGTCTTTATGATAAACATCCTAATTTGCTCTTTAAAATGTATGAAACTCTTATAAATCTTGATAAAAATGTTATGTAAGAATTATTTTTATATGAAACTTTGGTTGACAAAGATTAAATTGGTATAAAAGAAAAGAAGGAAAGAAACATTACAGATAATTTTAGATTTGATTTTTTAATTAAGGCAATAAATATAATGGATGATTTCATCATATCATTAATTAAAATTATAGATGATAAAACTTTAGCAGTTTTTATTGAATAGTTATGGAAATTTTGGGTAATTCTCTTGGATATCAATACTTAATGGTCATAAACAAGATATAAAGCATTACTTGATATTCAAGTTGGAGCAGTTGAGTCATAATTGAAGGATTGTTAATTTAGTTTGGATGCTTTAAGAGAGAAATATATTTAAAAAGTAAAAGGACATTAATTAAGAGTTGCTGTCGAATAAAAAAAGAACTTACATTTAAAGGAAGAAAATTTAAAATGGCTATAGATGTATTCTGAGTTGGAAACAAAAATAGAAGAATTAAATAATTTAGATAATGCAGAAGGTGAAATTAGAAAAATAAATTTGGATTTAAAAGAGATGGATTTTCAATTAAATCTTTTTCAAAAAAATATGAATGACTCTTAAAAATAAGTAGGTACAACTGTTAAAAGTTTGGCATCCCTTTTAAAGCGAAAAGATTAAAAATCCTTCACTGAATATTCATATGAAGAATTAAATCTTCAAGATTATCCAGGATTTAGTGANTATATGTTTAGTATTATAATTATTTAAATGGAGTCTCGTAACTTTAGGATTATTATTTTAAGATGTTGTTTTTATAACCTAAATTTGTTCACATGCTATACGGAGTTAAATATTTATATATAAAATAATTATATGAAATCTGCCAAATCTGCTTATTCATTGAGTACAAATTTAGCAAGTTAATACACAGAGAGAGTTTATAGAAATAAAAAACCAGTTCTTCGTATAAATACCGAAACTAGTCAGAGAATTAAGAGTGCTTAAATTGGATCTTCATCTCGAAAATGTTATACAAATACAAGTAGAGTTATTGAAAATTAGAGTGCTTCTAAGATTCCTTTACAAATATATTAAAGATATATAGATGAATCATTTATGTCTAATAATCATGATAAAATTATTAAGGAAGCCAAACTAGTTGAACCGACTGTCATTAACCATCTCAATATTAATTTTTATGAAACTTAATAATTGAATCATGGGATGAGTCTTTATGATAAACATCCTAATTTGCTCTTTAAAATGTATGAAACTCTTATAAATCTTGATAAAAATGTTATGTAAGAATTATTTTTATATGAAACTTTGGTTGACAAAGATTAAATTGGTATAAAAGAAAAGAAGGAAAGAAACATTACAGATAATTTTAGATTTGATTTTTTAATTAAGGCAATAAATATAATGGATGATTTCATCATATCATTAATTAAAATTATAGATGATAAAACTTTAGCAGTTTTTATTGAATAGTTATGGAAATTTTGGGTAATTCTCTTGGATATCAATACTTAATGGTCATAAACAAGATATAAAGCATTACTTGATATTCAAGTTGGAGCAGTTGAGTCATAATTGAAGGATTGTTAATTTAGTTTGGATGCTTTAAGAGAGAAATATATTTAAAAAGTAAAAGGACATTAATTAAGAGTTGCTGTCGAATAAAAAAAGAACTTACATTTAAAGGAAGAAAATTTAAAATGGCTATAGATGTATTCTGAGTTGGAAACAAAAATAGAAGAATTAAATAATTTAGATAATGCAGAAGGTGAAATTAGAAAAATAAATTTGGATTTAAAAGAGATGGATTTTCAATTAAATCTTTTTCAAAAAAATATGAATGACTCTTAAAAATAAGTAGGTACAACTGTTAAAAGTTTGGCATCCCTTTTAAAGCGAAAAGATTAAAAATCCTTCACTGAATATTCATATGAAGAATTAAATCTTCAAGATTATCCAGGATTTAGTGATGACTATTTACTTGTTAATCCTCTCATTTTTCTCTTACAAATAAGAGTTAAAGATCAAAAAACCACTCCTTAAGATTTCTTATCATTCTTAATATAAAATTTAAATCAATATCCCAACATGTCAGGACCAGAACTTTTTCTTCAATATATTGAGATAGATTTTAATAAAGCTCATTTTTTAAAAGATCTAATAAAGACAACTGATGATGATATAATTAATATTACAAAATTGATATTAGGAATAGGAAAGAAAAACCCAGTTAGTCATTCAGTTATTCTAGAAGCAGTTAAATTATGCAGAGCTATTGAAAATTAATATAAATAGTTAGAACAATAATAAGCTTCAAACCTTAATAAGAGAACCAGTCTTATTTTAAGTTAAGAGAAAACTGTCAATTATAATATTGATTTGAATTAAGAGATTCCTGTTGCAGGGTATATTGATAATATAACATTAGATCTGAAATAACTTTAGGATAATAATTATATGAGTAAATTCTTCAAATCAGTACAACCACAATTAAACTGAGTAAAATCATGTATGTAGCTATTCAATTTTTTGCAGAAAAGGAATTTGGAAGATGGATGAGTTGTTCTTATATATGGTAATAAGGAACAATTAAAATTGAATCTCGTTGGGATTAGTAAGAATAATTTTCAAATATGGATAGTTATCTTGTAATTACTTATTATATATTTAGGTATGGTAATATGTTAATCTAAAATATAAGAATTAAAAATCTCCAGATTAACCTTCTTTAGTTTAATGTTTTAATTGGGTTTACAAAATTTGGCTTTTGAGACCAAAAATTTTTATCAGATCTACAGGAGATCATATAGAAACTTAGAGAAGTTCTCATACTATTCAAAAGCAATAAGATAAATTGGCAATACCTTATAAAAAGTCAATTACTCTTATAGATTCTTAAAGAAAAAAATGATTGAATATAAATTATTAATGAAAAGAGTTTTTTAGTAATTCGAAAAATAAATAAGGCTTTCTTATGAATCAACTAAGTCTGGATTGAATTATAAAGTTCTAGTTATGCAAAACTAAATAATTTTAGGAAATATTTCAATTCATCTGAACAAATAAAATTAGATGCTTAATTTGTAATTAGCAGATCTATTTAAATAAAAGCATTTCAGATTAAATAAAGAAGAGTAATGTATGTATTTCGAAGGAGATTTCTCAACACTAAAATCTATGGATTAAGAAGAATCTTATCATTCTGATTCAGGTAAAACATCTTAAACTAATTAGGATTATTGGTTTTTGATACTCAAGAAAGTAGCTTAAAATTACATTTAACTAGAGAAAGTTAATTATCAAAAGGCATAATTCTTGGATATGTCATGAATTAGCAAAGTTTACATATAATTCATAAATTAAGAGATTCAGATCCTAAATGTGATGTGACGGTAGAATGTTCATATAATTTTTATTTGAAAAGAACATTCAATACATTAATTGGAATATCTCTTATATTCTTGTTAGATGGAATTAGCTTTAACCCAAAAAATGACCCTACAGCTATTTTTGTAAAAAATGAGATATAATATAGAAAAATTTAATCATGATTTACCTATTCATTATTTTTTAAATTTAAGTATTATTTCGGCAGTCTTTGCTTAAATTTACTTTATATGTGAACTGCTATATAATTTAGAAAATTATATTTAATTTTCATCAAAATTATCAATGGAAAACGAAGCAATCATCATAAATGAGAGTTTCACATTCTTTAATGAATCTTTTTTATATAGTTTAAAATACTTTATGAACTTGAAAGCAATCTCTTGTAATTTTTATAAGTTTGATATCGATAATATTTTAGGAAATCTTTTAATCTGTTCTGTTTATATAATTATGGTTTAATAAAATCTAAAATTTCTTTCTCAATATCTTGAATAGTTTGAATTTACTTAATTTTATTTTTTATCATGTCAATTTCCTCATTTAATTCATTTTCATTTCCTGTATTACTCTCTTAAACAAAATAAGTCATAAGAGACAACATTAATCCAATTTGCACATATTCTTCAGGAAAACTTTATTTAAACATTTCTACAGTTTGCTTTAAGAAATCAAAACGATTCAGGATCCTATTTAGATTAAAATATATTACCATGATAAATCTTGAGGGTTATGTTCATCATCTGTATCATCTGGGTCACCTTTTCGAGCTTTTATCAAACTTTAGAAATCAAATTATTTAATTTTTTCATTTAATTCATTCACCCACTATTATGTGTATAATCCTTGTACATCCTGTTTAGTCGGTCCATTCTAAACAAGTTCATATAGTCTTTGATAACTTTCCATTATGTTAAGATTAGGCATTGCTCTTTCAAGTTCATCTAATTTTATTATTAACTAATTAATTTTATCAATTCCATCACATTTCTCTTTTTTTGATAATTCTTTCATTATTGTTATTATTAATGTTATATCAATATTTGTTTAGTATTATTATTCAAAATAGGCTGTAGGATAAAAGCCGAATTCAAGCAAAAAGATTTTTTCATCCAATTAATTTACAAAAATATTTTTGGAGGATATACATCTAGCCAAGATTTTATTTTTATGTAACATAAATATTGCTTTTGACAATTGAAAGAAGATTGCTTAAAATGTCGTGAAAGCTATCTTTTTTATGTCATCAAGAAATCTACCCTCGATATATTCCAGTGGTATAAAACATTCTCCTTATACAATTGTTTAGCTTGAATTTTCATCATTTTTTTATAAAGGAAGTTGAAAGGGATACAGTTCATTACTCTTTTTTTCAATATAAGGCTTCAAAAAATCTAATACTCTTGCATATTTTTCATAAGAGAATCCAAGTTTGTGGCTTGTTTTTGAACCTTAATTAATCACTTTTTCTTCAAAAGTAATTAATGAAAGCTTCCTCTTCGGGGTTGATTCCATTATAATAAAATAAAAAATAATTATTAAATCATCTCATTTAAGTTTTGAAAAAAAAACTGTATCAAACTCTAGTCATTTTTAATATAAAATTTTTGTTTAATATTTGAATTTCTTAAAGTATTTTAGATTTTTTTAATTAAATAAGACCTTTAATAAACAAAGCGATTTTTTTAAATTACTTTAATGATAATGTATAAATAAATTGAAATCTTAACTTATAAATAATTTTAAAAATAATTAATACTTTATTTTAAGTATCAATTATTAAAAACTACCGTAAAGAAAATTTATTTTAACTTATTTCATTAAATTAGACATCTAAAATAACTATTATTTGAAACATTATGAATGAAATAATTGTGCGTTTTAATAAATAATGGTGTGAGCCTTATTAATAGAGAGAGACGGCTAATTTAAGTATCAAGAAATAGAGCTAGTTTATATTCTGATTTTATCTTTCTAATATAGGTATTCTTTTTGGTGGTTTGATATTTATAAATATCATTTCAGTAAATTTTTGTGAATTAATTTCTATAAAATCAAGATTAGAATCTAAAGAGTGCACTCATTCTCTTGCAACTGTTAATTACTACTATATTCCAATAAACTTGAGTAATATATTTACTTTCATAAGACGTAGAATTATTTTAATTTCTTGAGTAATATTTGAGAACTGAATTATATAGTAGGCTGGACAGACAAAATTATATATTTTGATAATTACAAGAGGATTTATAAACATTTTATTTGAACTACATAGTAATTAATGGGTATTAGTCAATTGAGAGAAGTTTAAACAAAGAGAAAATTTGAAATTTTTTTTGTAAATAAAACTTTGATTTAATTGAGGGGAATGTTAGTAATTCTATTCTTGTATCAATAAATGTTAGTAATAAATTTCAAATAAAGAGCTCTAATTAATGTATAATTATTTTTACTCTAAAATTATATCGTAGAATAAGGTAAAGGTTATTAAAAACTCAATATGTAGCATTGTGCTTTAAGGATTGAGAATTACTTCATAATATTCTTGGGATAAAAAAGTGTTAATAATTTGATATATTCATATTGAATGATATTTGAATTAACTTTGTTTGATTAAAACTTCCATTTCGATTTATTATTTAAGTTTTTTTATTGAGAGAATGCAAGAAAAGGATCTTGTTGATGAGTTTGAAGTTTTATATTCGTATTCAATATAATAATTATGAGTTATTGAGTAAAATAAAATAAATATAAATAAAATGACTAATTGTAAATTAAAAAGGTAGTTCATATATGTAAAAGTATTTTGGAAATATATTAGAATTGATTTGAAAAATAAAAGAGAAAGAGATAGAAAAATAATAATTGATTATAAATTAAATTAGTATTTAATAGTTTGAATGAATTTAAATTCTTTCTTAAATGATAAAATTTGGAACAAGAAGCATTAATTAATTTATGCAACAATAAAAAGATTTATTTGGTCACTATAAATAGCCAAAAATAAAGGAAGACTCTTATGTAACAGGTTTGAAATTAGCTAATTCTCTAAAGGGAAGTGAATTAGTACCATTTATTCCAATAAATGGAAGATAAGTGAAGTATAATAAATATTTAAATGATAGCTTTTATTATTGTGGTCCAACAGTATATAGTAATTCTCATTTGGGTCATGCAAGGTAATGATATGGGTATTATGATTATAGAACATATTTGGGTATTGATGTAATAAGAAGAACATTAAGAGATTATTTTAATTATGATCTTTTGAGTGTTATGAATATAACAGATATAGATGATAAGATAATAAATGGAGCGAAATAAGCCAAATAAGATTTTCTTGAATTCACAAAAGTATGGGAAAAGGATTTCTTTACCGCCATGGAAGCATTGAATATAGAATTGCCTGATGTAATAACTAGAGTTAGTGATTATGTTCCTGAGATTGTTACATTTATAGAGAAAATAATAGCAAATGGCTATGCATATGATAGCAATGGAAGTGTTTATTTTGATGTTCAAAAATATGTGTCTGATGGAGTAATTTTAATATATATAATAATAATATAGCATACATATCCAAAAATGAGACCAGAAATGAATGTAGAACTATTATAAGAAGGTGAAGGAGAATCATAAGTGAATAAATAATAAGAGAAAAGAAGTGCAAATGATTTTGCATTATGGAAAGCGAGTAAACCAGAAGAACCTAAATGGCCTAGTCCTTGGGGAGAAGGAAGACCTGGATGGCATATTGAATGTTCAGTTATGGCTAGTGCTATTTTAGGAAATCCTATTGATTTACATGCTGGAGGTATTGATTTAATATTCCCTCATCATGATAATTCATTAGCATAAGCTGAAGCATGTTTTAATTGTGATCAATGGATTAATTATTTTATACATCTTGGACATCTTAATATTGCTGATCGTAAAATGTCTAAATCTCTTAAGAACTTTCTTACTATTGATGAAGTTCTTAAAAGATATACTGCTAGATAAATTAGATTAAATTTTGCTATTCATTAATATGATGCAGTCATGAACTATTCCGAAGAATAAGTGGAATAAGCCATTTCTAAAGATAAAGCATATTAAGAATTCTTCTAAAATACTAAAATTTATTTAAGAGAATCTTCAGTCATAGGTCCTTAAAAATGGACTTAGAATGATTTCTAAATTAACTATTTACTTAGGAATACTAAAGAAATCATTCATGCTGCTTTATTAAAGAACTTTGATTTCCCTACTGTTATAGATGCTATTGATAAATTAATTAATCAAGTTAATGTATAAATTGCAAATAAAACAGTTAGACCTCCTTTACTTTAAAGTGTTGTTTAATACGTGAATTTCATTCTAGGAGTAAAATTATTTAATTATATTCTTTAGTTGATGGGACTCAATTATTAAAATTAAAATAATACATCTACAGATATATAATAAATTATGGCTGAAGTATGTTCAATTAGAGATTAAGTTAAATTAGCTGCTAGAAAAGGAGATTTTGATGCCATATCTACAATTGTATCTTAAAAGTAATTCCAATATGAAAAAAACTTATCTAATGGAATTGTAGATTGCATCAATCATTTCTAATAATAAGTTTTAGTTGCTTCTTAAGGTAAAAATAAATAAGAACTATTTACACTTTGTGATAAATTAAGAGATGAATAATTATTTGAATTAGGAATCAAAATTGAAGATAAAGATAAATAATAAGTATTAATATATCTTATTATAAGGCATCTATATGGAAATAATATGATCCAAAAGAATTAAAATTAGAAAGAGAATAATAATTAAAATTAATTCAATAAAAAGAATTAATCAAGAAAAAAGAAGAAGAGAAAAAAAAATAAGAAGAACTTGAAAAACTTGAAAAAGCAAAAATTCATCCAAAAGATATGTTCCTATCTTAAATAGATAAATACTCAGAATTTGATGAAAAAGGCATTCCAATCAAAGATAAAGATGGAAATGAATTATCCAAAAAATAAAAAAAAGTAGTCCAAGATTTATGGGAAAAACAAAATAAAATACACAATCAATATTTAGAATCATTAAAGAAATAATAATAATGATGTAAAATAAATAATTATATATATTATAATGATAAAATATGATATCATTTTTATTATTAATTTTCTTCATTTTTTACTTCAGTTACAGATTTAGAAAACCTCAATAAATCAACTTCACTTGTAACAAAAGATTTTAATAATTATTGCATTTCTTCTTACTTTTTCTTTGCTACTTTCTATTGAGTACTCAATTTTTCATTTGGCTTAAATTACATTTATAAATCAGGATCATTAATTAACTATATTGCCCTTGATATCTTCTAAGCTGTTTATTCTTCAATCCTATTAGCTTACATTAAAGCAAAACTTTAAATAATTATTTAAAATTACTTACTTTACAGATGATTTCATTTACTCATGAGAAACTCTCATATTTTTCAATCTGGCACTTTATCTAGTATAAAATTCATTGTATCTTTCAATCTATTGAGATTATAATCTCTATAATTATTAACGATTTTATAGAAAATTTAATACTCTTTATTAATAAGTCTCTTTTCTCAATATTGTTTCTTCCTATATTCTTTTTTCTTTTCTATCAAGAACATCTTCTACTTTTCTAGGTTCTATTCTAGGAGTACTCATATGTAATTTCAAATTAGATTTCACTTTTTAAAATTTCTCAATTTCTATTTACTTTTTTTATTAAACTTAATCTATTGATTTAGCAAGTAAATTATTTATTATTGGCTATTATTTTTAATATTTTTAGATTATGTTTTCAAGATTTTTTTCAAAATTATCATAAACTTGTCTCTTCCCAAAATCTTTGTGACTTTCAGAATGAAATTCAATAACTCCTTTTATAAATTGATATTATCACTTACTTTTTTAATCTAATTTTTATTTCATTCTCTCTAAATATTCTTCATATTTTTAATTTTATTTCTCTTGGAAAGAATGTTACCTTTATTTTTTAATTGATCTTGCTTATTTCATATGTTCAATCTATTCCTTTCTCATTTCTTCTAATTTATTGATTTTTGCATCACTAATGCATTGAATTGAAAATATTACATCAAAGAAGAATTTTTCAATAATTCACTTCTTTTATTTATTAACTCATCCTCCATCTTTTTTTTCATTCTATTATTGTTCTTTATTTTCTCATTAACTCTTTCTAAATGATCCTTCACAGCTACAATTTTATTATCATAATCTGTTTTTAATGCTTTTCTTACTTTTTCTATCTTATCCTCTTATTAAATCTTATAATCAGTTCTTTTCTTTTCAATATCCAATTGACATAGTAATTGCTTTTAAAATATTTATTTCTTCTTTTGCAATTTATCTGAGATTTATTGTAAACGTGACTCAATCAATTATTTTGATTCCATATCAACTCCAAATGTTCTACCTATTTCATTTTAAATTCCAAATTATTCTGATTTCTCTATTAAATCATGTCTTCTTTTCACTTTTCTTTTTTATTAAATTATCTAATAACCCCACTCTAATATTAAATTTATATTAATTACTTGCTACTTTATATGCATAATATTTAAATCTTAATGTCTACACTTAAGGATCGGCATCATAAAAATCCTAAAATTTAACAATCCTGAAAAATTCACAATCAATTCCAAGTTGTTATCCCAATATTTACGTTTAAGGACTCAAAGGTTATAGTAATTCTATAAATTTATTCAACTAATCAACTGCTTCATTTGCTCGCCCTTCTTTAATTAAAATAAGTGCATCAGGTAAGCTGAAATTCATTATTTTTTATTTATTAAATTATACAACTTATACCCAAAATTATTACATTCATTATTGCCATAACATATTTCATATACAATTTTCATATTTTTTTAATTAATTTTATGTAAAAATGAAGACCCAAATAATAAACTTCTTAAATTATTAATAAATGAGTTAATAAATAACTTATTATTCAAATGAGTTGTGCTAAATACATTAAGAACCTTGTACTAATATGTGCATCAACACTAAATGTCTCTAACCTTTATGTCCTGAGTGTATTGAAATTCATTTTAGAGAACATAAAGAATGTTAGATTGAAAGTTTGAAATCCTGTCGAACGAATTGTACAAAGAAAATTCGTTCATCAATCTCAGAAATGAATTAAATCTTATCATTATAAGAAATGAAAACTATCGACAACTCCTCTTAATACATTGAAATGTGCAGAGATTCTCTTTAATAATTGAAATAACAAATTATTGATAAAATTGAATTGTATAATAAGAAGTTATTACAAGACTTTAGTATTAATCTTATTTAGGCATTCAAAGTAATAGTTAAATACTATTTACATAGGAATCATAAATAAAAGAAGTTTATAATAGAATCAAAAATTTGATTCAATAATTAGATGAACTAGGAACAAAGTTAGAAACTTAGAGTGATTGCTAAATAAAAACTATAAGAAGTATTTATTTATTAAATACCACCTAATTAATTTAATCTGCTAACCAGGAGGCATACAAAGAAATTTTGAAATTAAGTAATTATTATTATTATATATTAAAAGAATTTCCACTACTTGTTGTCTCTCAAAATTTGAATCTAAAACTTGATGAATTATTCACTCAATCAATTTAGATTCAATTTAAGAAGACTACAACAACTATGATAAAAATGGAAGATAAATAATTGTCAAATAATTAACCAATAAAACTATAGGATGGTCCATCTTTGAATTAAAGTCAATTATTATCTCAGATAAATGAAATTTAATAAGTTAAAAAATAATCTGAATTTGCAATTACATAAGAAGATTATTTATTACCAACAGTTTAAAATAAGGTTCTTCATTATTTTAAATATAACAGTAATGAATTAAACTTAATTAATCTTGATAACCTTAAAGAGATAAAAAAAATTAACTTAAAAATTTCATTTTCAGTTCCTGTATTTCATTAATCCATAATTACAAGAACTGGTTAATTGTATCTAATTGGTGGTACTACAATCGATAATAATTATCCTAATAATAAATCTAATGGAATATATTTATTTGATAAGAATGTTTTAGTAAATATTGGACATTTGTTAATCAGTAGATCATCACATGGTTGCTGCATAGTTGGTGATTATATTTACTCAATATCTGGACTTGGATAAAATCAAACTTTAGAAAAGACTTGTGAGAGATATAATTATATACTACGAAAAAGTGAATAAATCTAAGATTGTCTATACCCTTCAATAGCTTCTTGTTGTGTAAATTATAATAATCAATTTATTTACAAATTTGGAGGATTGTGTGAAAAATAATAGTTGAAATTTATAGAGAGATTCAATATAAAAGATATGATATGGTAGGCTATTGATCCTTAAATAGCAAGTAAAGAGTAAATATATTCAATATATATTTATAGCACACCTCTAATTAAAGGTCTTAAATAGTTTGCTGCTGGAGTATAAATATCTGCTAATACTTTAATGATTTTTGGAGGGTATGATGAAAATACTGTTAGTTCAAATCAATCATTTCTATTCAAAATCTAAGGTGAAAATCATCTATTACACATGGTCAATGTTAAACCTCTAAAAATAGCAGGAGGCTTTTGGCATTAATAATGCATCATTTATAAATAAGAATTGTTTGTGATTTAGAATTAGGAAAACAAAGATGGAGATAATATGGAAACTAAAACTATATTACGTTTTAAAGATAAATGGATAATAGCTTGAATTTAATATATATATTTATGAATAGATTATTTGAATATACATTTCTGTATATATGGTATATTAAATTATTAACATTAATCATATTTAACAAATCATAGATAATGAAGAGCTTCTTCAGTTAATGTTTTATTGTCTTCCATTCCTTTTGTTTTATTTATATTCTTTTTAATTACCATCTTTTTACGAAATTTCTTTTAAACAAATTTTTTAATATTCTTTTGATCTAATTCTGTAATTTTAGTTAAATTTTTAGGAATTTAAGTATCATTTTACAATTATTTATTATTATTTTATTTTTTTTAATCTTCTTAATTATTTTCATTTTCCTAATTATCATCCTCTTAATTATCATTATCATCTTATACATCGTTTTGATCATCCTCTTAATCATCATCTTAGTCATCATCTTAATCATCATCTTAGCCATCATCTTAATCATTATCTTAACCATCATCTTAATCATTATCTTAATCATCATCTTAATCATCATCTTAGTCATCTTCTTCCTATTAATCTTAATCTTCACCTTATTAAAAGTTTTCTTCATCTTATTCTTATTCTAGTTATTGTTATTCTTATTGGGCTGCTTCTAAAATTTCAAGTTCTTTATTATCAGAAAGTTCTGATTTTATAAATCCTGATGCTTTAACTTCGTTGTCAAGATGTTTAATAACTTAAATATCTTATAATTTTAAATCCGAATGTAAATTAGCTTTAAATCTCCTTTAAAAGAAAATGTTAATGCAATTTAAATCTCTTTCAAAATAGAAGTCCGCATTCAAATGTTAAGTGGAAACCATTTGTGGAAAATCGATAACAATAATCTTTTATTATTCTGTAATCATAAGATTGAATTCATTAAAGTCAGAATGAATAAGACCATGACTTGCAAATTTCTCAATTAAATTAATACACTAAACAAAGACACCATCTACATCTCCTAGTTCTTAGATACTACATAAAGTATATCCATCTATAAATGACATTACAATAGCATGTCTATTCCAATCATAAGGTTTTGGAGTAGGAAAACCATTTTTATAACAAGCTTCCATATAAGCAAATTCTTTAATACTAGCTAACCTACTAAGATAAAGCCAATTATATTAAGTTCTGTTTTTAATATAGTCTCTCTTATTTTTTATAGTTCTAAATGATGTTCTACCAAGTCGAGCCAATTTAAGGATCACAAAATTACCATCTGAATTAATACACTTATAAATGTCAGATTCTTTTCCAACTCCTACTTTAGAAAGAACTTAAACAATAGTTCCTCGTTTATAGAAAGCACTCAAAGCAAGGAAATCATATCCTAAATATGTGAGTCTATATCCATCATCTAGCATTAATTCATTTTACTAATATACATTTTTTAGCAACATGCTGAACAAGTTTATGTTTCAATAACTATTATAATATTTAATAAGCATTCGCTCTTTTAACTTTTGAGATTTTCTCAATCAATTATACAGGTACAAATTCATGATTTTTCATCCCCATTTCCACAGCCACTAGAACTCTTAATTCATCTTTAGTCAAATATGCTAAATACTATGATAAATAATATTAATAGATTACAGATGTGTCCAACCTCATATTATAAATTAATTTAAATATATAAATTTCTTTTATTAGAATATATTAAATATTTATGATTAGTTTATGAAATATATAAGATAATATTCTTGTTTAATAATCATAAATGATGAAATAATCATCTAATAAATTGTATCAAATAATTAAGGTTTTAATATTTTAGGCGTCCCTTCAATAATTAATCAAAGAAGAATCCAGCAATGAAATACGGTGATGAGCTTCAAACAATACTCTAAATCAAGAAGGGAAATTATTACCAATATAAATTATTCATTTATTGCTAAATATGATGACAAGTATGAATTTTAACACCTTAGAAATCCAGCAAAGAAATTGAATCTTTTTAAATAAGCTGAATTTTAGTATTAATTCAATCTTTTTTATACTTATACTTAATTTGGTTCATGTAGCCTAAGAACATGATTAAGTTAATAAATAATTAACAACTATAATATTAAGAAATTTTAATCGCATAAAAAAATACTTAATAACAATCCATAAGCTTTATTCCTTGTCTTTCACCAATTAATAAATTACACTTTATTTCTTAATAGTGATCTATTAAATAAATTTTTTATTTTTAGCTCTTAATAATTAAAAAATATTATGTAAAACGAGAATTATAAACTGCAATTTTTATCATTTTTATGTTAGAACGATCGAGGGAAAAGTTTATAATTTTTTTCCTTCTTAAATTCATTTTTTTAAGATAAATTGAATTTCATTAATGAAAATATTTATGGCTGTTTAAAAACACAATTCATACATAAATAATAGATTTATAAATAGACTCCAATTTTCATTACAAAAAATTAAATTAAGAATGAAAAAAAACTTTTGCTCATATTTTATTCAAAAAAGTGTTAAAATTTTGTAAAAAATATGCAAAACTCATCTCAACAGATAGTATCTCTTCTGTGTTATGTTCTGTTTAACTTTTCAGAATTTGGAATCCTTTAGTGATGATTGTTAATATGTATATTTTTTATAAGGTTTTTATTCTTATAATATGTATTAAAATCGTTTTAATAAGCATATAAGAGAATATTTCTTAGTTAATAGAACTCACTATTTTTGATTCAAATTATAGTTATTAAATTAATGATATCTTTTGAAGTATATAGCAAGTTGAATAATCTAGTTATGAGAGCTAAATATATGGTTATTCATTTATCTCACAATTTTATTATATACTTTTCATTCCTTATTTTCAAGATTTAAAGAAAATGTTGAAAATTATTTTTAAGAACTCTTCAATTTTATTAAGTTGTACATGAGATGCTTATATCAAAATTTTCTGGAAGCATGCTAGAAATAGTTTATTTTGCAAAAGTTCTGTTCAAATTTAACAGCCACCTTTTAGCGATTAATTTAACAAATATGATTTTGCTTATCAAAGTTAAGATTTTATAATTTTTGCATAAGTTATTCACTTCGCTATCATCTTATAAATTTGATCATAAATTTTTATAAATAAGAATTCATTACAGCTTCAAAATATTATATAAAATATAATCGTTAATGAATCGTAGATTTAAGACTGAAATATAAGACAAGCACCTCAACTATGAGTAAGAATATGATAGTATTTTGATCGTGAAAGAAGAAGAAAATAAAAACTAGACTCCATAATCCTTATTTAGCCTTTAATTTTACCAAAAACAATTTATATCACCCCAAAAACAACCTTCGAAAACAATTAATAGATTCAAAAACAATAAAAAAACTGCTCTCTCGTCATTAAAATAGGCATAAGCTATTTATAGCCCTTCTTTACATGAAAAACAATTAAGAATTCATGCTCCTCCATCTAATTTTCGAATAAAGCTAACGAATTTTAAATAAAACTTGAATGCGATCTCAAAATAAAGTCTCCACACTCCTAGCACNTTTGCTCATATTTTATTCAAAAAAGTGTTAAAATTTTGTAAAAAATATGCAAAACTCATCTCAACAGATAGTATCTCTTCTGTGTTATGTTCTGTTTAACTTTTCAGAATTTGGAATCCTTTAGTGATGATTGTTAATATGTATATTTTTTATAAGGTTTTTATTCTTATAATATGTATTAAAATCGTTTTAATAAGCATATAAGAGAATATTTCTTAGTTAATAGAACTCACTATTTTTGATTCAAATTATAGTTATTAAATTAATGATATCTTTTGAAGTATATAGCAAGTTGAATAATCTAGTTATGAGAGCTAAATATATGGTTATTCATTTATCTCACAATTTTATTATATACTTTTCATTCCTTATTTTCAAGATTTAAAGAAAATGTTGAAAATTATTTTTAAGAACTCTTCAATTTTATTAAGTTGTACATGAGATGCTTATATCAAAATTTTCTGGAAGCATGCTAGAAATAGTTTATTTTGCAAAAGTTCTGTTCAAATTTAACAGCCACCTTTTAGCGATTAATTTAACAAATATGATTTTGCTTATCAAAGTTAAGATTTTATAATTTTTGCATAAGTTATTCACTTCGCTATCATCTTATAAATTTGATCATAAATTTTTATAAATAAGAATTCATTACAGCTTCAAAATATTATATAAAATATAATCGTTAATGAATCGTAGATTTAAGACTGAAATATAAGACAAGCACCTCAACTATGAGTAAGAATATGATAGTATTTTGATCGTGAAAGAAGAAGAAAATAAAAACTAGACTCCATAATCCTTATTTAGCCTTTAATTTTACCAAAAACAATTTATATCACCCCAAAAACAACCTTCGAAAACAATTAATAGATTCAAAAACAATAAAAAAACTGCTCTCTCGTCATTAAAATAGGCATAAGCTATTTATAGCCCTTCTTTACATGAAAAACAATTAAGAATTCATGCTCCTCCATCTAATTTTCGAATAAAGCTAACGAATTTTAAATAAAACTTGAATGCGATCTCAAAATAAAGTCTCCACACTCCTAGCACTAGAATATACGATAGTTAACATTAATCAGGATATTAAACACCTTTGGATATTAAAATGTCAATATCAAAAATTTAACAATTGCTGAGTTCTTCTAAACTGAAGAGTGGCAAATTAGATTTTACAAAATTCAAAAAATCAATATATTGATTTATTTGATTATAGTTATAGTATACGATAATTGTTTTTTAGTTTTAAAATTTTATTTAGATTTTTATTCATATTCTCTCTACTTTTACACTATTAGATTATATATAATAAATATAGTATCAATTTATAATTTTATATTGCCCTAGAATAATCTTTATTATTCATCAACTAATTTATAATAATAAGCAAATGTAGTCTTCAAAATTTATATTTCCTTCATAATTCTTAATTTTAACAATTTTTTATAAAATTACGCATTAATTTTAATCAGTAAAATACTCTGAAACAAATGATTTAAAAAATGCTTCCTAAAATGAGAATATATAAATATTAGTTAAATTGAGAGGATTTAATGAGATAAAATTACATAATTAATTTTGAAAAAAAATGAATGAAATAATTAAACTATTATTAACAAAAAATGGAAATCCTAATTAAGACTTATATCAGAATTTAAGATAATGCTTCATCTTTGAAGAAATCTAATACTTATCATTAAACTTAAAAAAGTTCACTATAGAGGATTGCCAAGGATTCTTTAAGTCTATAAAAAACATAAAATCTCTAAACCCTCATAAAGATGTAACATCGTCATATGGTTTGGGTTTGGTGCATGTGAATAAAATTTATGTTGTTTAATTTAGAATGATCAAAAATTTTATTGTGTTTTTCAATAAAAAAAGTTTAGCAAAAATTAATTCCAAAAGTTTGGTGTGTCAAGATTGTTTTATAACAATAAGTATCAGCCGTGATTAAAAAATCTTCATTGAAATAGGAATGTAGATTATACAATGTATTTTTAATCTATTTTTTTTTTAAGTTTAAACTATTAAGATTTTTTACAATAATGCTTCAATCGAAAAACAGATCTCTAAGTCTAAATGATTCTAAATTAGATAGATAAATTAAAAAAGCCTTAAATTCTATTTATAGATTGCTTTTCTTTATGAACTTCAGATAATTTTCTTATGAAATATGTCTGGTTTTCACATATCTCAAAAAATTTATAAATCTATTAAAAAAACACATAACGCATGTTTTTACCTTTTTTCTCTAATTTATTCATTTATTCTCAATTAGTATTATTTTTAATTAAAACTAAATAGCAATAGAGGTGATACAATTACTAACTCTATCTAAAGAAATCTTATATAATTAATCAAAGAACATATTGGAATAGTAATCCATGATTTAGCAAGATGAAATGGAAAGATTTCTAAAAAAAACCTAAAAAAGAATGTAGAAATTACTTTCATTATAATAAAACAATCAGAATTATTTCTTTAAAAAAACAAGCATAGCATTAAACTCAAATGATGAAATTAAAAAATTAGTTGAAAATTTTACTTAATTCTTAAATAGTTTTGCATTGAAACTATATTAAAATGATATTAAATCATTTTTTGCCATAAGAATAATAGATCATGAAGATTTCTAGATTTATAATTATGGTTTTGAATCAATTTTTGAATTTTGTTGAAAGGATGTGTTTTTGTTTCCCTTTTTTATCTACTATATTTACTAGTATAGGAAATCTTTGATTATGTTGTATTTAATTTATTAGTTTAAATTTTTTGTAAAAATTATAGATTAAAAGTAAAAAATATATAAGAAAATATTATTGATTTTTTCTAAAAAAAATTATAATTTTTAGAGTCATCAAACAACAAGGATATAAAATTTTAAATACTGAATGGAACTTCTGTTAATTGTCCATCTTGAACTTTAATAATTTTGAATAAATTTTAAAGTCTTGTTCGAACTGAGAATTATGAACAATTCAAAAAATGTTTATTAATATAAATCCTAGATTAAGAAAATATTTTATCTGTATTTAAAAGCAAATAGTTAGTAAAGAAATTAATTTCTTATAAATTAAAAGCTAAAAAACCTGAAGAAACAAATTAAGATTTTAGATCAATTCATTCATTTAGTTTATAGTTAATTGTATAAAGTAAAATCTTTGGCATTTATTTGAATGATAATTAAATGAACATTAATTCTGCTTTATCTGCAGCCTTGATTTTTCACATTTCTCTTAACTATAATATTTTTTTTGCAACCAACACAATCCCTACTAAAGTTGTTTCTACTTTTAGATTAGAGATGAAATATTAAAATAGACATATTATAAAGGTCTCCATTCTCAATTTTATAAGTTTAGTTTGATAATTTTTTATTAAAAATATTTATTTTACTTTAATTTTAAAAATTAATTCTTGATAATTATTTTGAATATATATTGCGTTTACTGTTAAATTGTGAAAATACCGTTTTTAAGTGAATTATTTGCATCTACATTTCAATATAAAAAATAAATGAAAACGACATCACTTAGCTTAATTTTGCTAATAGGTGCTATGGTTTAAGTATTTGGAGAACCTGTGGTTGTCTCCTAATCTTTCACAGGAAATGCTTTTTCTGATGCCGATGGTATAAAATAAAATAATAATATAGGTTGGGTGACTGCTGGAGGACCAGCTCATGTTACAGAGTGCAGTGGCACAAAAATGTTTGGAGGTTTTGGTAAATTTGGTGCAAGAGCAGTTGCAAGCAAAGTATTTGAACTCCCACCTCATTCATTAATTAACTTAAAGATTCAATTCTGGAAGTATGATATACTATCTAACTGTTAGGATTGACTCTTGGGACAATGAAGAAGGATACATCTTTGTAGATGACTAATTAGTCTGGTCAAGAAAATTCTAGTATAATGAAGGTGATGGATAAAAATGTGGCCAAGGTGGTGATTGGAAAGAAATGACACTCAATCTAAACTTAAATATCAAACATACTGGACCAACAGCAGTAGTTGTTATTACATCAAACTTGAATGAAGCTGCTGATAATGTAAGATATTTTTATAATGTATATAGGAATCATGGGCCTTCAGAGATTTTGTTCTATCAGTTGAAAAATGTCCCGATGGATGTTCTGCTTGTTAAGTTGATGAAAAATCAGAAAACTGTAATTTCTGGTAATCATTCTCTTCTAGTTGGGGTGCATTAGATGCTAACTAATTAGGAGCTGATGGCTGGGAAGTTGCAGGAGGTGCCGCTCATGCTACACAATGTGGAGGTATTTTAATATATTAAATGTATTTAGCTGCTGCTTTGTTTGGAGGTTTTGATAAAACAGGTGGTAAAAGTGTTATCAGTAAAGTCTTGAAATTCAAACCACATTACAAACTTAAGATTAAAGTACTTTGGGCTAAAATTGATTCTTGGGATAATGAAGCTGCTCAAATCAAAGTTGATGGAAAATTAGTCTGGGAAAGAAGATTCTAATGGCATGAAGGATATTTTGGTAAAATATGTGGTTGCCCAGTATTTGAATGGAAATCAATGTTTGCTAGAACTGAAGTTGATGTTGATCATACTGGAGAATAAGCTAAAGTTGAATTCACTACAACTCTTGATTAAGCCCCTAATGATGAATCATTTGGTTTGAGAGATTTATACATCTTCTATGCAGCATGTGCTAACAATTGTGCTGAATGTACAGGACCTAAAGAATCAGATTGCAAAAGTAATTAATATTTATAATATTATAGAATGTGCTAATAACTGGGCTTTAGTTGGAGGCAAATGCTAAGCTTTACCTAACTTTATTTTATTAGAATAATCTTTCTTGGAAGATAAATTCACAGGAATCAATGGTTGGGTTCTTACTAATAATAAAGCAGGAAGATAAATCAATGAATGCAGTGGTAAGTCAATGGTTGGAGGTTTTGATATTATGGGTACAAAGGCTAGTGCAACCAAAACATTTGATGTCCCACCACACAAAAGACTTAGATTATAATCAACAATCTATAAGATTGATTCTTGGGATGGAGAATTCATGATCATTAAAGTCGATGGAACTGATGTTTGGAAGACATCTTGGAATCTCTAAACTGGAGGTGCCAATTTCTGTGGATAAGGTATATGGTTTGATGGCATTGTTGGTGTTGATGAAATCTTTAATCATTAAGCTCCTAAAGCTGAAGTAGTCTTCACATCTACTTTGGATCAAGATGCTGCTGATGGTAATTCTATTATAATAATTATTAGAATCATGGGGTTTCAGAGATTTCAAATTATGGTATGAACCAAAGGAAGCATGTGCAGTTTTCTATAGTGAATGTGATTACAAGGGAGCTTCATTTGAATTCTGTTCTAAATCACCAAACTTCTAAAATGACAACATTCCACCATAAATTAGATCCATTAGAGTTCCACCATAAGGAAGAGTCACCTTATATGAAAACACCGATTATAATGGAAAGAAGGTTACTTATACCTCAGATCAAGCTTGCATCTAAAACTTTGATGTAATTATTTTAATCTATTTTATTAGTTTGCCTTAATTCAAATGAGTGGACATGTTGAAGGAGGTTGGGTTGAAGTTCAGCAATGATCTATAATAAGAATAATAATCAATAATCATAAAATCATTTTAAAATACAATTTATATATATATTAGCATTTTCATTTTATTTGGGATAATAATCCAAATTATTCAAATAATTGATCACAATAATAAAATTGATGACTGAATAATTCTTATAAAAATTAATCTATTGCTTTCATTTATTTTTTCACTGTNGAATTCACTACAACTCTTGATTAAGCCCCTAATGATGAATCATTTGGTTTGAGAGATTTATACATCTTCTATGCAGCATGTGCTAACAATTGTGCTGAATGTACAGGACCTAAAGAATCAGATTGCAAAAGTAATTAATATTTATAATATTATAGAATGTGCTAATAACTGGGCTTTAGTTGGAGGCAAATGCTAAGCTTTACCTAACTTTATTTTATTAGAATAATCTTTCTTGGAAGATAAATTCACAGGAATCAATGGTTGGGTTCTTACTAATAATAAAGCAGGAAGATAAATCAATGAATGCAGTGGTAAGTCAATGGTTGGAGGTTTTGATATTATGGGTACAAAGGCTAGTGCAACCAAAACATTTGATGTCCCACCACACAAAAGACTTAGATTATAATCAACAATCTATAAGATTGATTCTTGGGATGGAGAATTCATGATCATTAAAGTCGATGGAACTGATGTTTGGAAGACATCTTGGAATCTCTAAACTGGAGGTGCCAATTTCTGTGGATAAGGTATATGGTTTGATGGCATTGTTGGTGTTGATGAAATCTTTAATCATTAAGCTCCTAAAGCTGAAGTAGTCTTCACATCTACTTTGGATCAAGATGCTGCTGATGGTAATTCTATTATAATAATTATTAGAATCATGGGGTTTCAGAGATTTCAAATTATGGTATGAACCAAAGGAAGCATGTGCAGTTTTCTATAGTGAATGTGATTACAAGGGAGCTTCATTTGAATTCTGTTCTAAATCACCAAACTTCTAAAATGACAACATTCCACCATAAATTAGATCCATTAGAGTTCCACCATAAGGAAGAGTCACCTTATATGAAAACACCGATTATAATGGAAAGAAGGTTACTTATACCTCAGATCAAGCTTGCATCTAAAACTTTGATGTAATTATTTTAATCTATTTTATTAGTTTGCCTTAATTCAAATGAGTGGACATGTTGAAGGAGGTTGGGTTGAAGTTCAGCAATGATCTATAATAAGAATAATAATCAATAATCATAAAATCATTTTAAAATACAATTTATATATATATTAGCATTTTCATTTTATTTGGGATAATAATCCAAATTATTCAAATAATTGATCACAATAATAAAATTGATGACTGAATAATTCTTATAAAAATTAATCTATTGCTTTCATTTATTTTTTCACTGT